GGGGGGGCTGCACAAGCAGTGGCCTATGCGACGTACTAGATGGTGGGCGGTGATGCTGCTGCCATTCATGCCACTACCGTGGTTGCACTCCTGGCCCACCGATAAGCACCCAGAATCTGGCCCTCCCCAATGTAGCATCTTCTCAAGTAAAGCTTGCAGTCCATGGCGGCACATACCTGAGCCCCCCTGCTATGCAGCCGTGTGCAATTCTCCTTCATGTGCAGGAAGCTGTCCATGGTGATGAAGCCCGTCGGGATCACCTGATTCCAAGAACGGGTGCAGCTGGAAGAAGTAGAGCTTGAAGCGCTGCCCAGGTGGCAAGTCCAGCAGGACCTGCACCAAGTCGGTGCCCACGATCTGTCACTCCGTGCCCACCTCCACCAGTCGCACCGTCGCGACCATTTCAGTGAACTTCACGCCCGGCTCGACCAGGCACAACCACTGCCGCCAAGTAATGTTTTGCCCTGTCTGCTCGTGCCACCGCCAAAAAAAGGCTTAACTGGGGGTGAGGAAATAGGGGGGGGTGTCCGGGTGGGTGTCCGGGTTACTCACTTCCTGAGTGCATTGGCCAAAGCTCCCAACCACTTTCGACGTCCCGCTCAAACGATCCAAAACCCCAAAACGCGACTAGAGTCCGAACCCGAACTCAGCAAGTGAGGCGAGTTATGGAGGCTCGGAAGCCCTTCACATCTGCAGGAAGAAACCCAGGGAATCCACACAAAAACCCAAAATCACAGAAACAGCGCCACTTCTGCAGGAAACCTCAAACAATCCACACGAAAACCCAAAATCCCAGTAAAACAAAAGGAATAAAAACGCGCCCCAAGGCGCCGAGAGCAAGTCCATCTCTTGCCAAATCTTGCCCTCCTTCACCTTCACCAGGCGATTGCACTGCAGGAAGGGAAACCTCGGCTTCGCTCGAAAAGCCGGGGCAAAACGCAAAAAAAAAGAGAAAAAGATGGAACTGCCAACAACTGACTGTTTTGCGCGGCCTCACTTCCTCAGTGGACGGGAACCCCGGAAAAGTGCATCGCAATCTGGATCCCCGCAAAGAAACCACTGCCTCTTTCAACCAAGGTTCCAACAGGAAGCTGGCAGGGGGTTAACCGGCTTTAAATTGAAACTCTGCCAGGCAACTATGGACAAACAAGTGCAACTCAACTGGAAAGATGGGAAACTACACATGGCTCTGTCTTCCCGGCGAAACCAAGAGGAAAGTCCCTCCATTTGCTCAAGTCCCCTGGAAAAAATAGAAATATTTCCAGTAGTAATAGATTCCCTTAAAACCAACCGGGGAAAATAAAACATATTCTTAACCAAATGGAAGAGTCGGAGAGCGCCATTTTGGGGGGTCCGATCCCCAAAAAAAGCCACCCCATGGAGATCTCCAGCCGACCTTTGGATCCAAAGCGCCCTCCATCCGACGGGGGCGCCCCGTAATAGCTGATCCAACACCTCGGCCGAACCGAAACGGGAAGACGAGAGAGAGACACTTGGCTTGTTGGTCCCTCAAAAATGACATGACCTCAATAACCCATGGCAAAACATTCACAAACAAGTATAAAAAAGAAGAAGAAATGATCATCTTGCTGGTTCTCAGCAGGGAATCAGAAATGGTATGACCCCAAGAAAAAGCCCATCCCTGGTGGTTTCCTTTAAGGGAACCCTTAGGTTGGAATGAGACATGGAATGACCCCCTAACATGTTTCTTGTGGCTTCCTTTCAGGGAATCTTAGCTTCATTTCCAACACCCGCTTGGGTGACACCCAAACCCTCTCAGTGGCGTCTCATTTGCCCAGGCTTATGGTCAAACCTGAGGACAAATCTGGTGGTTTCCTGCTCATGGTTGGCCAAAACCCAAGGAGTTTTTTTGAGACGCTCGCAATGAATCTATCTCAAAGCCGTGAGGACAATCGTCCCAGAAGGGGGCACTGAAGTGTCAGAATGAAGGCTCCAAGCTGCAGACAACAATCAACGACCCTCTCGTTTTCTCCAAAAAAAAATCATGAGAGGCCTCAAGATGCCTCAAGAGACATAGATCAGACAGGTCTCAAATGACAATTCCCACTTTCACCTCTACAAGCCTCCACCTGAATTTCCTTTTTCCTGCAGAGCATCGTGGGCCGTTGGTGGAATCCGCAAACGCCACGCGCAAAAACCAATAGGAATCTGATCAGGCCTTCATAGCGGTGAGCTGGTTCTCTGGAACAGTGAGGAAGCGCCCTGCCCAATCCCTAAAAAGACCTGCCTCGTCACCTGATGCCTCCGTAAGCCAACAAACAACAATCTGACACGAGCAAAAAGCTGAGCTGAGGCGCGACTCGCAATACCAGGCCAAATCAGTTGGATCCTGCGTGAGCTCCTCCTTGCAGTTGCAAGCCTCGGTGTCTTGCTTTGGCTTTTTGCGAGGCACCTTGCAGCCTCCAAAACCAGCCTGGGATGAGTGTCTAGGGAATGGACATACGCCAAAATTCATGGCTACGTGTGGGCTATACAGGGTACATACCCCAAAAGCCACCCCTATATAAGGCCTTAGGCCCTTAGAGAGAGTGTCTGTGTGTGTGTGTGTCCTGTGCCATTGATAAGAGCATTTCGCTGGGGCCCTTGTTGGGGCATCCCAAAATTCATGCGACCAGTTCTGCTGAAACGAGCCATACCCAACGTGCAGTGACATTGGAGTTTGGTGACAACCACCATATCGGTGCGCCCCCATGCCATCCCCTTGACAAGTTTACCGCAAAGGGTTTGTCTCAAAGTCCCTGTGGGTCGGTCTCTCGAGTGTACCCCTGTTTTGCAGTTTCAAAGGGAAACCAACAGAAAAACCGATGCCTTTTTTCGGGGGGGGGTTCTGTCAACCCCCCTCTCCGGATTCTGGCCATGCTGGGAAGACGGCCTTTCTTTGGCGAACCCCCTGTTGGTCGTATTGTTTAACGGGGAAACTTAAGGGACGTCCCCTAATTTTGATACAAACCCATAGCATGAACCTTCCAGCTCCAGCTGTGCGTTCGGCCAAACCAACGGATTCCACTGGGAATGATTGAACCAAAGTAAAAGCAGCGGAGTTGATTTAGATAGCGTCCCCTCATGGGGGTTGGTGAAGTTTTTGAAACCAAACACATACGCAAAAAGAAAAGAAGAAAAAAAACGGCTGAATCCCCGATCAAAAAGACCCACCCCCCATGAGGGGGCCCTTCTGTTGATTCATGTTCAAAAGGACTGACCTAGGCTGCAGCTTCGCACCAACAAGCTCCGCGCTCTTCCTTCACGCGGGGGGATAGGAAGAGGCGCCGCACAAACGCTCCGCTCAAGGCGGTGGCGAAAAGATGGGAGGCAGAGCGAAGCTCTAGGGGTTGATTCTAGAACTTCTAGGTTCTATAGGTTTTATAGGTTTTATCGGCTTTATAGGTTTTACAGGTTTTACAGGTTCTATAGGTTTTCAATCATCGTTCGGTTCACAAAGCGGATCTTTTTCCAGTCTGGGTTTGTTCATGGTTTCCTGAAAAGAATCGGATCCCTGGAAAGAATGGGGAAGGAACCTCTAGAGAAGTGATCTCCAAGTTTTACCATGAATTCCTTCCAAGACCTGGGGGTTGATCAACTATTCCTGGCCCCCAAATGAGCGTGGGGTAACTTTTCCCTTGTGGGACATATCATGCATTTTAATGGTTTTTGTTTTTCCCATGGTCATTATAGTGTGAATATGTTCTAGGGATATGGGATATGATTTTCCATGGATAACTAAATATTTTAGTGGTCTTCCCCCCTGGTCCCAAAGGTCCATCGGACCTTCGGATCCCAAGTAGTCGTCGCCGTCTTTGCGGCCCCGCAAGATGGAAGTCCTCGAGGTCGAGGTTCCGGTGACCACGTCGAACCAGGTTTCCTTCTAGAAAAGTAGATGGTATTGGTAGGGAATTGGAAAACTAAGCCGGAGCCATTGATAGCGTTGAAATCGGAAACGCCCATCTTTCAAATGGACATTTGGAGAGGATCTGTCTTTCGAGATGGTCTTCTCAAAAAAGAGATGGTCTTCGGAAGAAATATATAAATACAAAAGCGCGGTCTTCCGCGAAAAAAAGAAGAACACCAAATGATCTTCCGAAGAAAAATAAAAAGAGAAGAACAAAAAAGAAAAGAAGAAAAACAAGAAAAGAAAAAAAAGAAAACATGACAATCTTCCGGAAAAGAGAAACACCTGTCATCTTCCACCGTCGGAACTCAGCGGATGCCTCCGACGTTCCTTTCAAACCTTTCTTCAAGCAGCGTCGCAGGTGCGGACGTCCAGCGGCGCCAGGGTCGCACTGGACTCCTCCTGGATTGGATTGGATTGGATTGATTCTCGGTTGCGAAATCTGCTCCTGCTCAAAGTGACTAACTTTTAGTGGTTTAATACGGAAAACCCAGTAGTTGGCAAAAAGTTCTCAAGTCCTAAGTGGGAATTATAGGGGTACCTTTAACGAGACCCTTTCCAGAAAACCAACCCAAGGCTGGCTTCTGGCGGACGAGGAAAACAGCCAGGCCCAGATCCAATTGGGTGGCTTGGAGCCTTGTGATTTGGTGTTCTGGAGGCGTGTCCCATTTATCTACAAGAAGCAGGGGTTCAAATCCCCAAACCACCAATCCAAACCACCAACTACGAGCTGAAGACATGCCAAGTAAGGACAGGGGTCACTGGATCCAGGAGAAAACACCATGCCGTGCAATTTTGGGACGAAATCTTGCCAAGTGAGTGGAGGGGTCACTGGATTTCCCCTAAAGTTGATCAATTGACCGGTGGTTTCCGTTGAAACTTCTCGCCACTTTGGGAGGGGTTCCAAAAAGGGAAATTGAGTCATAATCAAAACCTGGTACAAAAATGGTGAACCAGAACCATATAAGGAACTGAAAAGGCGGATTCCCGCCACAATTTCCTGCTGGGACTGCCCCTTACTAACCTTCATCTACCTGGGTGTTGATTGTGACTCAATTGAGGAACACCTTTCGTAGGGTTGGTTGTTGCTCATCGTTCCAGCTTCTCAGCCGAGGAATTCATCTCGAGCAAACAGCTCGGGAGCAAAACGTGGGCTCCACGTGGGCCGTAAGCCCGCTTGCGGGCTGTTCTGCAAAATACCATTTTTTTGGTAGGGGCCTTGTTCTCACAGATCATGCAGGAAAATACTGAAGTCACAAAAGAAGCTTGCGTAAGATGGTTCAAGAGAACGCGCATGAACTTGTTCCCAATGACCGGACAAAATATTGTAGTGCGCACCGTAAGATTGTGGACGTCCCTTCTACGCTGTCAATGAGTCAACACGGGTTCGTGAGCGACGGTCATTCGAGCAGACCTGTTGCCCCTTATCCTCCATTTGCTTTTTCGACCCCTGGATTAAAAAAATCTAAAAAAATAATAATAATAAAAATCCAGTAGTGATAGAATCCTTTAAAGCTAACAGGGGAAATTAAATATATGTATATACATATGTATTCTTAACCAAATGGAAGTTATGATACAACTGGTCAATGGTAGTTGTCCTTTGCAGACCAGCCAGCCTTTTTGGCAGCATGTTCGCAGGGCCAGGCAACTTCGCAAAGCTCGCCCTTAGGAGGGTGATTCATGCGGATGCTTCACTCTAGGAAGAGTTTAGACTCCTTTCAGCTTTGGGCCGTACACATCCAAAAGTTTGTTGTTTTTTTTGATTTTTGCCTTTCAAAGGCTGACGTTAAGGGGGGATCATATGGGGAGCACTGGGTGATTGTTCGACCCGCGCGAGTGGATTGAAAGGAAGGTCCGTGGAAGCCAACACCGCAACAAAAACTGCTTCGGGTTTCTTGATCTGATTGGGCGAACACCACGACAGCAAGCAAGCAAGATGACACGTGGGAAGAACTCCGGTTTGCAAAGCCACAATTCTAATGACGTTTGGCAGGGATCCCTACATTATACACCTGAACATTGCCTTGCAAATGGTGGTTTCCCTCTATGTTGGTGGGTCAAAATGGGCAAAATGTATCTTTTAAGGAGCCCTGTTTGGATTCCCTTCTTAACAAACCCATTCGCGCCCTCAGCGCAACCTGGGCTCCAAGTTCTTGCATGTCAGTACGTGGCCATGGGACCATCTCCAAGCTGAAAAAAAACACCCTCGCTTTGAAACACGGATCAAACAAGTGGCTCGTTTCTGGCTCGTTTCCCAGGCTTTTTTGGGCCATGCAACCTGAAAAGGCGACCCACAAACATCAAACCACACCCAATGTACTCGTGGTCGACCAAACCTCTCCTGGTCATCCGCAGCTGTGGTCTCGGTCACCGAGAGAGGGTCCATCTGCAAACGAACTCGGCGGACCTCCCTCCCAGGCTTCTGTCAAGCGGTAGGTGAATTCACCACCCATTTGAGGCCTTATTTTAGTGGGGATTGGGATGTTCACTGGGGGTACGATTTGGATTCTGACCCATAGCCATATTCCTTTTGGCTCACCACTTAACAGCAACACTTGGGCCCCCGATTTTTGGTGCAACCCCCAAGAACGAAAGACAGCGCTGAGCAGTTTCAGGGTTGCTCCCCGTTTGGGATCAGTTGCAACCACATCTCTTCCTTGAGCAACTGAAGGATTAAATGGGTGTGTTGCTTGAAACCGCTGCCGGGATCGATTTGAAGGAACAATTCAAGAGGACAAAATATGTGTGCGGCTCCCGCCGGCATTTTTGAGACATGACTTGCCTCGAAACGACACGGATTTCCTTACTTTTGCTTGGGAGCTCTCTTCTGTTGAGTACCCACACTAGCATGGAACCCAAAAACGGGTGTCGCCTGAAAGGAGACTCCCAGCAATCCATCTGTTTCTGCGACTATCCATTCGCCCATCTCCACTTTGTCGACCTCTTCAATCATTCCACATGCGTGGTTGGTGGCTAAATGGGGGATCAAGCTCCAAAACAAGCCCCCTCTCCCCTTAAAACGGTGCCTGCCTGCCCATTCTCCGCAGTCCAGATTGGACTTTTCAGGGTTCCGTCTCCTATCTTGAGACCCCATGTCGACTTCGCGGAATCCACCCGAGCGAGGTTCCACCTCGCCAAAGTGGAAATGGCCCGGCCGCATTCTTGGTGTCCAACTCTCAAACAACTCGCCGTCTAACTCCAAGAATCCCTAGTGGCTGACCCCAAATTAATCAACCCCAGTTTATTAAATTGGGGGGGTGGGCCTGGGTTTAGGGGGGAATCAGACCACCTTGGAGGGGCGCCCACCCCCCTATTGCTAAACTGGGGTTGACGAATCCCTACTCTTAACCCCATGTTAATCAACCCCACTTTGTTCATATAGGGGTGTTCCCCTGCACAAGTATTGAATCCCCACAAAAACCAGAGACACCCCCATATGGCCGTGGTCAAAATCCCGTACCCCCAGTGAACATCCCACTCCCCACTAAACTAAAGCCTAAAATGGGTGGTTATTCCAGAATGGGATCCCATTGGTTTTGACCCACAGCCATATTAACAGGGGTCGATTCATGCGGGGTCAACATTACCAACTAGGTCCTCCAGATTTGAGAGGTTAGAATAAATTGGTGCCAACTTTTTTTCTGGTTTCTCTATTTTAGTAGAGGAATACCCTCCCTCCAAAAAAGAAACGGTGAAAAAAGGGCACCTAGCTGTGGGGGGCCTAGCCAACATAACCACCCTTACGACCACAGATCCGACTCTTGGACTTGGCCTTCCCGTCTTCAGGCTTCTCCTGACCGCTTGCGTTTTTTGCTTTTGCTTTCTTCTTTTTTCTTTTTTTTCGCGGCAAATGGTCAGAGTAGCTACAAAGAAACATGTTGATGTATTCATGGGATCTTGTATAATATGTGGATTGAAAATATTAGCTCCACTTAATAAAATGTACTTCTTCTTTTTGTATAATACATGGATTCTCCATTCAAGAAAATCTAGTCCTTCTTGCTATTATACCAGTGAAAACAACTTGTCTTAGTCCCGCAAAATATGGCGACCGCGTGGCAGATGTAGCTGTCGCGAATTCTGAAATTCACGACCAGAAGAGTCATGCCACCTCTGCGCGTTTCCTGGCGTTTTGGGAGAAGCGTGATTCTTTGGTAGTTGTGTTTTTCTCACTTGCCGAGTGGATGGCCCAAAAAAAGTCCAAACTTTATATTTACCACTGAAATGGTCTTCCCAAAAAGTTTAAAGTTCATGAACTCAGGAAGTGAGTTTTAGGAATCGGACACCCCAAAATGGAATCGTGTCCTTTCGTTGTCCCTGTGAATCCACCAAGCAAAGGTCTAAGGGTTGGTTCCTTTGCCATTCTCTTCAGCCATCCTTCTTTTCAAAAAAGCCGATCGCCATTTCCCCAGGGTTTGTTGATGGTTTCCTAAAAAGAAGGATCCCTGGAAAGAATGGGGAAGGTACCCCCAGAGAAATGATCTCCGAGTTTTACAATGAATTCATTCCAAAACTTGGGGGTTTGTGGTGGTCTTCCAGAAAGAATGGGGAAGCTACCCCCAGAAAAGGGGCACCGAGCCTCCAAAACGACGCCAGTTGACCTTCCAGCCGCAGCCCCGCGAGCGAGTCCGCGAATCCGCGAATCCGTCCTCCGGGGGAGCCTCTCCCGACGGCGCATCCTCGACCACTTCCTGCAAAGCGGCTAGGGGGTTACATCCAAAGGAACCGGATGGTTGGGACACTACCTCTAAACCCCATAAAACCAAAAAAAAGATCGGGAACCAAGTTTTGGTTCCTCCCAACCAACTTGGCCCCAACCTTCCATTTGCTTAAGACCCCTGGGAAAAACGAGAACATGTTTCCAGTAGTGAACTCGATTCTCTTTAAAACCAACAAGGGAAAAAATATATAAGCAAAGCGAAGGTTAGGAGGACCACTTGCGTGAAGTCTGAACCAAAAGTCCGTGATCAACCGGAAAATTAGGTTTTCCCTCACACGCTGTGCCTTGCTCTGGTTGCTTCACCCAATTTTGCACCCGAAACCCTCGACTAGGCTTGAGCAGCCAAATGCGCTGCTTTGGATACACAATCGCAACTGGATCGAAGTCACGCCGATGAGCTCTTAAAATCCGAAAGTCCGGAAGTCTTAGAAACCGACCCGAAAGGGCGAAACCGTACTGGGACAAGCGAAGCCGCAAAAGATTTCGCGATGCCATTTCCCTGTTGGTAGCCCTTCGGTTTGCGTGCCTCAAGGTACATGATACCTACTATGGTCACTGGAAGCACTGGGTTTGATTGCGGTTTCACTCGCCGCGGTTTACCCGGCTCGATCTGTCGAACGAGCTGACTGGTTCGGCAGTTGCCTTCTGGTATGCCTCATGACGCACATGAGGGCTAAGCCACTCCGACAGAGTTCGATATGCAAACATTCCAAATGTTCCGAGCGTGATGTACTTCTGAAGGGGGCCCCTTGTAAGGAGGTTGAGAAGAGAAATCTCTGTTCGGCTCGACGGGCCCCGTTTCGAAGATGTCTCGTACCCCTTCCGTGACTCAAAGGCTTGCCTGCGCCGCGGCCTGCTCTTTGGGTTTCTCCTGGTCGACACACGGCGATGCCCATCAAAGTAGGCCACACATTGTGCTTCAAATGTGGTCATGCGTCCTTATGTAGTTTCTACCAAAACAACAAAAAGGAGTTCGTGCCAGCTGAAGCTGTGAATCAAGGTTTGCTGCAAAACTCCTGATGGTCACATGCAAGAAACAGGGTGCATCGCTAGCACCACAAGAACTAGCAACTAGAGGGCGCTGTTCAAGCTCTAAATGTTGCAGACTGGTCGTGGCTTCAAAAAAGCGACCCATTGTGCCGGTTTCTCAAGCTGACCATTGGTGTCTCTTTTCGACGGGGACCCCCCGAGAATGGTGCCATGCACCCTCCCACCCGGTCCTTGGCCTTGAACGGAACAATGGGTCCAAACCAGGATCCCCCCCCCCCCCGTCACGGCAGGCTCCGTGCTAGTGGACAGCAACAGGGTTGTGGGAAATCACCACTTCTGTGATACAACAAAAAGGGCTTCCCAACGACTACCACCCCAGATCAAGGGGATATTTCCTTGTATCACAGAAGTGGGAAGAAACCCCTTGATTCCACAACCCTGGACAGCAAGGATATGTTTTTGACAAACCCCAACCGGTGGATCGGGGAATCATTGCAGTGAAGGATGGACATCCGAGTAATCAACCAGGGCTTGTGGCCCTCCCAGCGAACGTTGAACCTAGCATTACGACAACAGAAAGACCATGTTCGTCGGGTTCCATGTTCATTGGGAGGGTACTCTTGCCCCTCACAAGTACCTGCCTCCGCCTGCGCTGCGGGCTTCTCCTGGCACAACTTTGGTTCGCCACCAAATATCTGACTTGCCCAAAGGACCTCGAAATATATATATATATATATATATATATTCATACATATATGTACGTAGATTATATATATATACACTATAGTGTATAATATATATATATATATATACATAATTTGTGCACACACAGGTTCCCAAAAATGGGAACCTGTCTATGTACAACCCCTTTCAGGTCCCCTGAGCGCACATTCACCTTCACATTCACCAGCCCCTGGTTTTCACGAAGCGCGCGGAAATCAAAGGTCACATGGTTGACCTACCCTCGTGCACAAATTGTTTTGGGGTTCACAATTTTTACAAAGGAGTCCACCAAACAACGGGGAAAACGCCGGAATCCACATGAAATCTGCTGAACCACGGGATGCCATAGAACCCCCTACTCCAAATACCCGGCCCTTCTTTCAGTTGGTATCCTGTCGACACTCTACAAAAAAATGTATTTACCATGGAAAATCAAGGTTTCTTTTCCCAAAAAATACCCTGAAAAAAGCGGGTATTTTGGGTATGGGGTAGACTCAAGCTGGAAAAGAACACGATGCCAAAAGGTGTCTTTCCGCCCGATTCGCTGGCAAGCGAGCCACCAAAAAGGGCATCGCAACAAAAAAACACCAGCATTGGGGTTTTGAGTAGAAAACACTTACTCCCCGAGATGAGTTTGCAGATCAACTCAGCTGGGGAAGAGGCGACTGGACGGTTTTGGTGTTCGCCTACAGATCGACCCAGTAAGGCCCAGCCCACCCGAGCACGCGATGACCCGAGTCCCATCAGCAGAAGCGGAAAAACCTCACTTCAAAAAGAGACTCAACTCAAATTGACAGCAAAAAGTGTGGTTTGGGCCAAGCCATAATTTTGAAACCACCAGGCCAACCGCTTGAAACGGAGGTTTTCATGAGAATTCTTCTTCATCACTCGTGCAAACATGCTGTGACTGGTGGGCTGGAATCCCTCAACCAGGGAGCCAGAAAGATCCAGCGAACAGTAGGAAGCCTTGCAAGCATGGGTGTCCTTTTGGAAAAATAGATGGCACTGGTAAATGGAATACAACCCATCTAAACCAGTGCCTTCTATCTTTCACCACACTAACCCAAAAAGGACACCTCTGCTTTCAGGCCTGTCATTTGTATTCCCCATGCGAGGCCCAAGGAGAACCCAACCTTCGGTCCATCAGAACTCCCCTGACCGAAATGGATCGAAGGCCTTGGGAAGGCCAACGTAGCCCCAAGCTTGGGACCACCGGGGCTTAAAGCTTTCCGGGTGCTCCCAAAAAAAAAGAAACACGAGTCGCCAACCACCAGTTCCCCCAAAACCGTCCCCGAAAAACAAGGCGCCAACCAACAGCACGCGCATTCTTGTGATTGATTTTGGTGGTACTGCGAATCCTTCATCCAATCCACGGCCAGTTTTAAAGGCCTCTGCGGTCTCGGGCTTTGCTGGCTCTTCCGCCGGCCTGGGGAGACGTCTCCAAAATGGGGGGAGGCTTCTCTTTGGTGTCCCAAACAAAACCCAGGTTTAAACACATGTGGATGGTCAAAATCGAAAACTCCAGGCAGTTGGCGGGTTTTCAACCAGGAAGATTTGGTGTGTCCATAGTGGTGTCGTTCTTCATGGAAAGCTGGTGCTTCAACGGGAAACGGTTTCCAGTTGGTTTCCTTTACCATCCACCCCCCTCAGTCTTGGACAACTCTCCACAGTGGATGCTTCCTTCTACCGGTGAAGCACGAAGAATCTGATCCAAGGTGCCAATGGCGAGGGTTTTTTTCGGCAAGGAACATTTGCTGGGCATCCACCCCCGCTGCACCCAGCGGGGTATCCATTAGCATCGATTTCCCCGGGCCAGAGGCGGAAATCAAAAGCCACCAGGTCCCTGTTCAAAGGGTCGAACTTGCTTCATTTGGCTACGAAGTTTGACGGTTCAAAGGATGCCAGAGGGTTCAGTTCGAATTTGCATTTCATCCTCATCCTCATTTGAACCAAGCACAATAATGACGGCAGCCAAGCACGTGCACTGGCCAACCAAGTTGTTGCCTGTCCATCTGCTGGCGCGGAATGCACATGTTAGCCAATCCAAACGACAACAACCGTTCTCTTCTTAAAGTCCCTTGGTGGGGGAAAAGAATCCCATACTTTGGTCTTCAGGCGGCGAATTGCTTTTTCTGAGCCCTGAAGGGCAAAAGGCCTTCATTGGATCCTTTTGTGGGCGCATGCACCAAGCGCATGGAGTCATAGCCCCAAAGCGTTTCAGGATCACCCTCCACACCCTTCTCCCGGATTCAGCAATAATAGCATGAAGCATGGCATAGCATGGCCACACACAGAGATGCATCCAAGGAGCTCCTTCTTCGCCTGCACGATGCGTCGCTAGCACAAGCTTCGCGGGCGTTGCCGCGTGAGGCTAGGCCCGGGGAAACCAACTCTAACAAAATCTCTGGCGACCTTTGGTAGCATGTGGGCTCCGAATTCCCACGTGGGCACCCAAAGGATCCGCACCGGCCTCATATAGGCAATCTTAAACAGCGTTTTGACCTGATCAACTGGACGTCGTTCTTTGCGTCGCGCACACGTCACTGAATGAGTGTGCTCGGCAAAACTCTGCGGCGTTGAACTGCCCTTGTTCTGCCGGCTGTTTTTTGGCCATATCCATCCTCCTGTTTCGTTTTAAACGAAAGGCAGAGCTTTTGCGACCTTGACTCAGCTTACCTCTAGTTGGTGCTCTGGATTGGTGGTTTGGATTGGTAGTTTGGTGGTTCAGGAGGGGGTTCCCATTTGCCATCTACAGAAGTAGGGGTTTAAATCCCCAAACCACCGATCCAAACCACCAGCCAAGGCAAACCTGACAGGATATCAAGAGACGACGTTCAGAAATTCCATCAGTACACTATGTGTCAAAAAAACAATACAACAATCATCAGCACAACATAATAAAACCCACAAAGTCGGAGCCCAAAATGGATGTTGGTGTCCTCTTCCCCCTGCTCAAAATACCCGCCTTTTTTCAGGGTAATTTTGGGGAAAACCGATCGGTTTGAAACGGTAAATACCTCCTTTTTTAGTAGAGGGTCGACATGATACCCTGAAAAAGGGCCGGGTAGTTGGAGTAACCTTAACCCCGGATCAATAAAAATTATGGTTGATGTTGATGGGGGGGTGTCCCCGTTTAAGCGGGGATTCAGACCGCTTTTGGAGGGAACATCCCCAATGGGACCACCTTTTTGAAAACTCCATGGCCTCGGGTCCGCAGAGGATGTCCAGGAAGTCCTTGACACCTCGAGGCGCTCTCGACTCGGGGCCAGGGCCCGGTAGGGAACCAGCCAAAATCGAAAAAGAAAGCTGAACAAATCAAATTGTCAAAGCTGAAAATTGGAATTCATATATTAAAAGATGTAGGGGAAAAGCTAGGTTCTTTTGGTAGACACCTGCTTGGGCATCATCGCTGTTGTGGCCAGTCTGGCGTTGGGACATGATACTTTGGGATTGTAGCAAACTTGGCAAATTCCCCTTTCGTTTGGGGCTGGGTTCAGCAACGTCTCGTTTGCCGAAGGGAATTCCTCCTCTCTGGAAACGTGTCCTTTTGTCACAAATCTAATTTTGCTGTTGACAAGTTGGGGATGCATCCAAGAGGAATCAAATAGACAAGGGAGCCAGGCCAAACAATCTGCAATGGCCAACGGTTGGGTTTTGGGCGCCTGAAAGGTTGCATTTCTTCCCTGAGCTCTATGCGTTAGACCTGTGATCCCTTGCTCATTTGTCGTCAATGACCAAAGCTAATCATGGAATAAAGGTCAAAGCTATCAGTATACTTTGCCCACTAGCATATGTGTACACGCACCAAAAGCATATACATACCTATATGCATACGTATCTAGCGCGGACCCACACATACCCACATAAGATATATGCAGGTCTCTGCTTCCCTACATGCATCTCCTTCTGCCTGGCACGTACCAACACCTTGGGCCTCGCGCTGATGTGTGACTCCTCCCGGCTGTCCCTGAGCAGGGCGTTGGCCTCCTGGGGGGTGCCCCCGATGGACTTCAGGAACTCCACGCAGCCTGCGGCGAAAAAAGGGCGAGGGCGAGGGGAATTGTTGGTCACTGGGGAGAAGTGGAGAGACTGGAGGGGAGAATTGTTCTCACTGGAGGGGAATTTTCGTCACTGGGGAGGGAGAAGGGACAGGGGGTCAGTGGATTTCTCCTTAGGTTTGGGAGAGAGAAGGGACAAGGGTCACTGGATTTCGAGGTCAAAGGTTGGTACTTAGTGGTGGTGTCAATGGAGAATGCCACTTTTGGAGGTTCCAAAAAGGGAACTGTGTGGGAATCGCCCGTGCTTGAGTTTGCGCCAAACACGCGTCCAACAAAGTCGCCTTCCGCACCCTTCCAAGAATCATGGATCTGCAGTAGTCTTCCGAAACCCTTCTGTCAGCTTCCACTGTTCGAAAGGGTAACCTGCCATCCCAGCAAGCTTTTGAGTATACAGTGCAGGGTCAGAGCATGGGCATTTACTCTCTTGCAGATTCACATAGAAACCACCGATTCTGTAGAAACATCCCCATTGCAGGCCCCATGTTCAGGGGACTCTAGTGAGGTTGCCCTTCGCCCCTGCGCTTGCGGGAATCAAACAACTGAAGCACTCAGGCAGGTGTTCTGGAAACAGAAAGACCCGCTGAAACCCATCAACCACATGAAAGTGTTCAACACTTGGTGACTGCAAGTAGACCAAAACTACTTCAGCCAGGTGTTTGATCTCGGATACAAATGGAACATGCACTCTACACAGCCTTATCCTGGCTTCAAAATCGTTGAGGCATTCATACCAAATCCGAGCCAGATCCAAACATCAAACAGGCTAGAAGTAGCAGCGCCAAGCTTCTCAAGTGGTCTTGCCCCAGCATCATCATCCCTACTGCAGGGCGCAAAGAGCCAGCCGAGCGGCTCTCCCGTTCCAGGAGGCCATGGGTATCTGCCAGGGTGGACTGAAAAATGCCCTCGACCTGACTGCGCAAGTCCTCAGCCGGGCGAGAGATCTGAGATCTGATCGGCGCGAATCTCCGAGGATTCAAAAGAACCCTTCTGAGTAAAATGTCGAGAAAGCTGTGACTGGGACTCTTGGGCTTCGGCTACCTTTATGTGGCCGTTCTTCAGGTGGCAAGTCCGCAGGGTCCAAATCCGACCGTAGTTGTGGCGGCACGCTTCAGAGCTAATGTCCACTGGCGACCAGCCGCGGAAGATCAATGATCAGTCTTCTGCTTGGTGCCCACTTGCCACAGAGCAAAAAAGGGGCGAGATCCAAAACATCCATCGTGCCCGTGCGTACATCGTCTACACAGGTACGCCGCTGCTGTTGTGGTAGGCGCCGCTTTCATGCGCCAGGCATATGATGTTTGCCATGAACACATGCCTTTGAAGGTGGTTCTCACGCCACCCGGTCCCGCACCGAAAACTAGGGCTCCGAAAACTTTCAGACCGTCGTTTGGAGCCACCAGGCATCGCTTTCATTGAGTGGACCCCTTGGACGGCTAGGCATGGTCAAAGTGGATGGATGGCAGCCCGGGGGGGAGGAGGCTTGTTCCACCCTGATTTGCATGGCCAGCCTTTGATGAGCCCTCATTCCGAAAACGTGTGCCTTTGCAGTCCCTGCTTTTTCAGCTTGGCTCAAAACATGGTTGAAATCGCAATCCAAATCCTTTGCCAGGCAAGCAATAGCAAACGAGCTCATCTCGCAGTCTTTCGGGCATCTGCAAAAGTCGCCTCTGGCTGCAAAACAAGTCCAACTCAGCGGTGGCAGTTGGCATGTCGTGTCCATCCAACTCCCATCCCCACCCATTTCAACCCGCCGCAAGGGGTTGTTGGGCCCCGAAGATCGGCTCCTGCTGGGGTCCCGGGCCGCATCCATGCTTCGCAGGGGAGGACTTCGGGGCGCCTCGTTTCAGCCGATCGGCCAAATTTTTAGTCGAGGGCCCTTAGGTCGGGTTCAAGGGAAAATTACTGGAACACCGCCATATGCATAGAATCTGGCTATTTCCTTCGGGGGGTCCCCCAATTTGTTTGACACGTGCCCCATGAGCATGTTCCTATTCAGTTGCATGTTGCTTGCGGCCGAGCAGCGAGACTCTGGAAGCCTTCGCACGCGGCACTGCCAGTCCTAGCCGTGACAACAGGACCTACCCGTCTTTCTACCAAAACAAAAGCGTCTCCAGATTTTGAGGGGACCCAACTTGTTCTGCCAGGTTAAATCAAAACCAAAGGGAAGTGATACCTTTGGGATCGATCCAAAGTAGTTGATTCCCGTCCTAAACATGACGTTTCTCTCACTACTATGGGCGGGGCTTCTCAAAAAGGCGGACACAACCTTGTGGGTTTCAGAAGGGAAGCAAAAAAAACGGCCATCCTATGGTGGTTCAATTTAGAGAAACACCCATATTATGAACAGACATACATCTAGACATAGGCGCCTCGGCATTTTCTGCGCTGATTTCTTTTAACTCAGGGCCACACCAGGGAAAGTGGCTAAAGCGAAAACCAATGAACAACTACCCGGACCCCCAAAGGGTACGGTTCTTTGTTTGCTTAACCCTGTCTTTTGCTTAACCCTGTCTCCGTTCTGGGGCTCAGATTCATTACCCGGACCTACTTGGTTGGGACACTGGACAGTAAGAGTGCAACAGTTCTCGGCATTTCGGCCTTCGGAACCGATTTCCGGATGGGCATTAGTCACTCCATTGCCTGGCCCCCCGAAAGAACAGCACACAAAGCCCCCTCTGTTTTGGACTTCGGGACCGACTTCTGGAGAATAAAAGGCACGAGAAATTAAAGCCACCAAAATTATCATCACTTGACATGCTGGGCCGCCAGTTCGCGCGGGGGGTGTCTCTCTTTTGCTGTATGTTTGGCATTCACAAGTCCACTCTTAGCCATGCACTCTCGCTGGGTGCGCATGGAAACTCAATACTGGACGCCCTTGGCTGTCGCGTTGTACTATTGCTGTAGCGGAACAGTGTCTAGGCACCAGGCTTCAGCCAGTACCAGCGGGAGTGCATGGCTAAGAGTGGACTTGTGAATGCCAAACATACAGCAAAAGAGAGACACCCCCCGCGCGAACTGGCGGCCCAGCATGTCAAGTGATGATAATTTTGGTGGCTTTAATTTCTCGTGCCTTTTATTCTCCAGAAGTCGGTCCCGAAGTCCAAAACAGAGGGGGCTTTGTGTGCTGTTCTTTCGGGGGGCCAGGCAATGGAGTGACTAATGCCCATCCGGAAATCGGTTCCGAAGGCCGAAATGCCGAGAACCAACAACCAGCCAACCAGCCAACCCACCAACCAACCAACCAACCAACCGGGTCGGACAGGGCTAAGCAAAAGACAGGGCTAAGCAAAAACCATTCTGACTTTCCGACCCTCAAACTATCCCCAAAAAAACAGGAATTCACCCCATCACTTTGGGGCACTAACCCATGTGCTAGGGAATTGTGAGGGTCATACCCGTTTTGGAGAATTCCCATTGACCAAACTGGGAACGGCATTGCATCACATGGCTATGTTCATTTGAATCCCCCAGCCACTTTGAAAGAGTCCCACGTTGGATGTCACAACCAAATACGCCAGCCCTGCTTTGCTCGTGCCCCGGAAACATGTCACCAGTGGCTTCTCCCATGCTCTCCAAACCTTGTCAGCCCCGAACCAATCTTGGGGAAAAAGAGGGCACGACCTTGTTGCGAAACCCCCCCAGTTTGCGAGGGAGATGTATGTGTGTGTGTGAATTGCAAGCAGCAATTCAAAAAGTGCTCATCGCATTTCCCCCCTTGGGGTGTGTGAAAGGGGAATATGGCCAGGGGTCAAAATCCCGTACCCTCAGTGAACATGCCAATCCCCACTAAAAAAACTAAAATGGGTGGTGAATTCACCTACCCACCAAAATGGGATCCCAAAACGGTTTTGACAGCCACTGCAATATCTTAACCCACCTAGAGGGCTCCAAAATGAAGAATGCCCTGTTGAGCCGCCGCAGGTGTTCAGGCGGTGATCAGTGTTCGAACCGAGTTTCCCAGTGGACACGCTTCCTCTTTTCGGGTGTCGGGGAGTGCCAACTAGTGGATAGGCACTGAGGATTTGAAGAGTTGACAAGGTGTCTTGACAGACAATGATGCACTCTGGCATCGATCAGGAACAAGCCAAGGCCGTTTTGTGCCGTTCCCTCTGCTTCAGCATGCACTCTCATCCCCTTAAACCAGAGTGTTGCTGTGGACAACATCCTGCAGTGGGGATGCATGATACCCTATCAATACTCAGACATACCATCCGGGTGTGTCTATTTTGTGCCATTCCTGAAAACGACAGTTTTCCTTTTGGTTCCCTTTTAAACAAAAAAAGGTGCCCTCAAAAAAAGGAAACGCTCATCTGGTGCCTGGCGTGCTTCCAATGCCGCCAGGCCGCTCCGCTCACGATCCCAGGACCGCCATACGGCGCCGGATCCGGCCACGTGGAGGTTCGGCTGGGAAAAACGGCCGCGGGGAAGCGGAAAATTGTGCGCTTCTGTGCGCGCGGGCGAGGCAAGAGCGTGGCCATTTTAATGCTGATTTGGGCTCTTGTTACCTCCGTTGAAATTCTTAAGGAATATGATTTTCTTATTATTTTTTTAGAAAACTTGATTTTTGATCAACAATGGAAGAATCCAGGGATCCTTACATTATACACCTGAGCATTGCCTTGTGAATGGTGGTGTCCCTTTGTTTTGGTGTTGAAAAAGCAACATGTTTCAAATGGTTGCAAGATGTATTTCTTTTAAGGAGCCCTGAAGAACCCCTCGGTGTTTTCTGTTTCTCGGTTGCTTTCTGCTCCCCTGCTAAAAGTGAATCACTTTTCGTGGGTTAATACGGAAAATGGTTTCACGTCTCTCTCCAATTGAAGGCACGCCCAAAAATATCGCTGAAAACCCTACAAAACAACCAGGTACCATTGAAAGGAAAAGATTTGGTTGTTAGGTGGACGCTCTCTAAGTTTCTCTTCCAGAACAGGTATATGGCCATGCCAGCTGCAGTTCGCAGCTGAATGCATGGGCGTACCTTGGCCCCAAAACTCAACTCAGCGCAATCCATGTGCACCGAAATGCAGCGGACGAGGTCCACTGTGTTGACCTCGTGTCCCACCCACATAAGCCCGTCAAAGGAGCGGGATTTGGAGGAACTGTGGGCAAAGCCACGAGCAAATGCCAGTGACACGGAGGCGCAAGAAAATGAAAAGTTGCAAGACAACAAATACGGCCTTGGCTTTTTTTGGCAAAGCATTCTGTTTCAGAGGCGGTTGCTGTGCTTTATCCTACGCCCTCCAACCCCAACACAACCCTCCAACCCCAACACAACCCTCCCGAACCAACCCAAACAAACCAACCCCCAACCAACCCAAGCAAACCCCCTTTCCACCCCTTCCCCCCCTTCCACCCCCCTTTCCACCCCTTCCAAACCACCTTCCACCCCTTCCAAACCTCCACCCGCCAATCCCACCCCTCCAATCAACCCAACCCAACCAAACCAGCCCCCAGGCCCCACCCAACCCAACCAACCAATCCCACCCCTCCAACCCCTTCCAAACCACCCCCATCCCTCCGAGCTCCCCGCCCGCAAAATCCGCAGGCGCCGGGTCGCCAAAGCCGGCGACGGCGCCTCCACCGCGGCCGCCAGCAGCACGTAGGACCTGGGACCGCGCGCAACTCGCTGGGGGTTGACTCGCTGGCCATGTGTTTTGTGTTTTATTATTATTGTTATTATTATTATTATTATTATTATTATTATTATTATTATTATTATTATTATTATTATTATTATTATTATACTTATTATGATACTTATTATTATTATTATTATTATTATTATTATTATTATTATTATTATTATTATTATTATTATTATTATTATTATTATTATTTATTTATTTATTTATTATCACTATTGTTATTATTAGTAGGTTTTTTTTTGCTGGTTCCTTTTTTCGGGCTTTCTTTTGGGCTTTTTAAGGTTTGCTCAGGGCTGTTTCCCTTTCTCCGGGTTGTTTTAGGGCGCACGTTGTTTTTTGTGTGTTTTTTTTGAACCGGGTTTTCTCCGGGGTTTGTTCAGGGCTTGCGTCGGGTGTCTTGAGTGCGCTGGCAAGAGACCAATGGCAAAATGGACTCCCCCGGGTCCGAGGACCTCACGCCGGAGCTGCCTTTGCCATCCCTCTGACTTCACTTTCCTTGCCGAGCTGCTGGAGATCACCTGTAGCTAGAAGCCGTCTTTAGGGTTCAAACCACCTTTAAAAAATGGGAGTTTTTGTAGCACCACCATGATTTACCTAAGGATTGTCATCATCTAAATTGGGTCCACCTTTGTTTCAATGGAGGTTAAACGGTCTTATTATGCGCGTACGCACTCCAAACAATTGTATGATTCATGATGCCTTGTGCTGACCCTTGACAAAAAGAAACGACGTCTTTTGCACTGCCTTGGCGTCCAACCGGCCGCCCGGGCCTTCGGCTTCCCCCCCCCCCTCGCAGCCTCAACATAGGGGGATCACTAAACAATACAAAAGGCGGTTGTGTTTGTGAGGGTACCCCTTCCATCTGGGACAAAAGGGAAAATCCGAGAGGAACCCCACCGTTTTTGGGCTGATTCCCAATTTTTTGGACACCTCCCGCACCTCCCCCACCCCCCACAGGTCCGAGTGGCTGGAAGGGCTTGCCCCGCAGCTCTCCAGGGGTTTGCCGCAGGTCGGTCCTACGAAGCTGAGGCAAAGGCTTCCGGAGGTGAGTTTTGTTGTCATATGGGGCATAAGCCTGGTAACTGGGGCATAGGCCCAATCTAAACCAGAACCCCAGCTCTGTCTAGATACACCTAAAAATCTAGGGGCTGAGTCCCTTTCCATTCTTTTCAACTATCGGTCTTGTCAAAAACCAGCTGTTTCCCCTGAGGTTCTGAGAGTTCTCTGGATAAAAGGATCCCTGGAAAAAAATGATAATAATTCCCCTAGGATTTTCAAATGCCAGTTTCTTGCACTGGACCCACCAACCGACCGACCGACACACCACCCTACCAGCCAAGCAACTAACCAAGCACACAAGCAAGCAAGCAAGCAAGCAAGCAAGCAAGCAAGCAAGCAAGCAAGCAAGCAAGCAAGCAAGCAAGCAAGCAAGCAAGCAAGCAAGCAAGCAAGCAAGCAAGCAAGCAAGCAAGCAAGCAAGCAAGCAAGCAAGCAACCGACCAACCAACCGGGTTGCTAGCTAGCTAGCTAGCTAGCTAGCTAGCTAACTAGATAGTATCATGCAAGGAAACAAAGCACAAACTAACAAGTATGCCAGCAAGAAACAAGCATCCAAACTAACAAGCATGCGCACTGGCAAGTAAATCAAACAAACAAGCAAGCAAACAAACATGCAGCATACACACAAACGCACCAACCACCAGATAAGCGAGCGGGCGAGCAAGCCAGCAAGCAGGCACGCAAGCAAGCAAGCAAGCAAGCATGCATGACAAAGCGCAGCACAAGCGAAATGAAACAAACGAGCCGAAAGAATCCAGCCAACAAACAAGCAAACAAGCAAACAAATATACATATATACATATATATATATATTAAACAGACCGGACCAATGCACCAAGAAACACACGCACAAAAAAAAAAAAACAGTCGCCAAGAGAAACCGCCCCGCAAAACCGGCGTCGCCTGAGCAGGCCGTTGAAGCTCGCCGAGGGCGCGCAGGCGTGCATGTGCTTGGTGACCTGGGGCAACGTCCACTGGTTCTCCCGGTTTTTTGGGGGTAGCGTTTTTGGGGTGGAAGGACTGACGATCCCCGTCTTTGGGGTGCTTTTTTTGGGGTGGAAGGGCAAGCACAGGACAACTCTCCCGTTTCTTGGGGTTCCCCCTTCGAGACAAGCGCCGGAATGAATCAAGCTTCGAGCGTCTTGCGCTTCGTGGGACCGCACCCCCCTCCAACCTCCTCTCTCCCCAACTACACCCTTTATAGCCCCTTCCTTCCAACGTATTTGGGAAACCAAGGGCACAGTTTCTTTTGCTTTCCACTACCCTTGTGCCGTTGGTTCTTAATCTTCCCGTCACCTGGCAAGCAAATCTACATTGGTCAGGAGGGGTGGGCGATGCTTTGAGATCTACCAATTCTGGCACGAGGCTCCAGTCATCGGAGAGGACAAGATGAAGGTAAAAATCGACTCTCCTTCCTTGCTTTCCCCAAATTCATGTAAATCGACAAACATTTTGCCCAATACCATCACCAGGCCAAAGGACTGGCGGTTTTTCTTTTTGCGAACTGCCTGAAGAGGCCATGGAAGGCATTTAGTGCCATGGACACTTTGGTGCCAAATCCCAGGTTGGCGTTGAGTTACAATTCGGGCACCTCAAAACAAAAGGCTGCCATTGGAATTTCAAAATGTGGGTGTGTTTTTCTGAACCTCGGTACCCCTGTTGGAAACCAAAAGGAAAGCACAATGTGATTTTCTTGTGTTGGGGGGTCCTACCTCAAGAAAGACATAACCATGTGGGCTGTCCTCACATCCCCTGCACAAAAGCTTGACTTGTGGCTCAAATGGAAACCCCCGCCGAACCCGAAAAAAACCCTAAAAAAGCCCAAGGAATCGGACGGCTTTTGCAAGGAACCGAGCCATGTCTCTCGGGTGGCTCAAAAATCGGGGTCGAAAATGGGACCCCTGTAAATAGCAAGGTAGACCAAAACCTGCGTAACCCTTGCTCACTAAACCCCACCGCCCAAGCCCCCGAGTGGCTTTCCCTTTTGGAGTCAACCCTCCGTCGGCCCCCGGGACAACTTTGTTGGGTCGGAAACGAAGGGCGCCCCCACCAGGCAAGCGAGGTCCAGCACCTGGTGCGACGCCAGGGACGCCTGGCATCGAAGGGATCCAAGTCGCAGCTGCGGAAATCTCGACACACGGGGGGGTTAGAATAAGGGTACCCTTTCTTCTGTAGTCTATTTTAGTAGGGGAACCCTCCCCAAAAAAAGAGTAAAAGGGCACTACTGGGGCACCTAGATTTGCCAGGTGACGAAAGGAGGTGTGAAAAAACAAAAAGGGCATGAAACTTGGCGGTCTTGTTGGTGGCCATTCTCTAACAAAGGACATGAAACTTGCGTGTTTTTTTTGGGGGGGGTTGGGTGTTCTAGATGGCCAGTCTCTAATCAATCCTTCTCAAATGGGATTCCCAAGGTTTTGGGGTTCATGGATGGGTGGTTGGAATGGGGAATCCCGAGGTTTGCTTCATAGCGATTCCTTTAAACATGCCAAACAAGTTGGCCGGAAACTACCCTCCCAGATTGCCATGGTCTTTTCTAGAGGAAACTCGTCCAGGTACCCTCAGGTGCCTGCTGCTTGTGGGGACGCCCCTAAAACATGGAGGGTAGCCGGATCGCCCCCCCCCCCCCCATTGCTTCCGCCTGCCAAATCAACATATGCGACATCTCTGGCGCCAATTGCGTAACATCTCCCGTACGATAGTGGAAGGGTGGTAGGCGAGGAGTATGCGATTTCTGAAGAGACATAGGGAGGGCATCTTACTTTCCAGCTGCCCAAGCCACTCGGGATTTGCGAATCAATGATCCAGGTTCGGCTCAAATCTCCAAAAATATCTTCTAGGTCCTCCAGTAGAGAGATTAGAATAAGGGTACCCTTTTTTCTGCAGTCTATATTAGTAAGGGAACCCTCCCCCAAAAAAGGGCAAAAGGGCACTACTGGGGGACCTAGTCTAGTCTTTCTGGAACTGCTGGACCTTGATCTCAGCCGTATTCTGTTGGCGTCAGACCCTCCCGAATTTGACTTTTCACGTAGCAGGAGTGAAGATGTTAGAACTCTGCGACCCCTCCCCCTTTTCCAGAGCCTGCAAAAATGTGCGCCCTTCTTCTTTCACTCCTGGGTTCCTCACAAGTGACCCTTTTTGGGGGGGAAAACCACGCCTGACCTCACCTCAGCTGACGAGGACCAGGGACTGCTAGAAGGGGAGATTGTTGGTCTCTGAAAGAAAATGTGCAAGGAAAGCTAGCATATGGGGTCCCCGCAGTCCCCATTTGACACACATCCAAACAGTATATTAAAAATCCGTTCGCACCACTTTGAAACCGTGGTTGGAAACCATTGTTTGTTGGTATTTCTATGGGAATCGAGGGAATCGAATCATTCCAGGGCTTCTGAGTCTTAGGTGGTGCGAATTGGAATTGGTCCATCCGCAGCACAGTTTCTTCGTCCCAAGCCCCCGATGTTTTTCTCAGGCTCGTGCTGCATCCATCAGGGGGCTCCAGGGAGGCAGCAACTTCTCGCTGTTGGCCTGACCACCCCAAACCCTCCCATGGTCCCCTACCAAAAATAAGGGGGAAACTCGGCAACCAAAACTTCCATTTGCTTAAGCCCCCTGTTTCTTTTTGTTGATTTGTTTTTAGAAGAAGAAGAAAAAAGGAGAAAACATGTCCAGTAGTGATAGATTCCCTTTAAAACCAACAGGGGAAAATGAAAACTATTCTTAAGCAAATGGACACATGCAAAAAAAAACAAGGCGGAACTCGGCAACCAAAAGGCGACCACACCTCATGATGGCGACCAACACGTAATGCCACCCCCAAGTCGGGGGACGGGCATCTGAATGGAGCAGCTCGCAAGTGATCAACTGATTCTCTCCAAGGGCTCACCCACAGAAACTTGGAGTCTTACTGCCCAAGCTTCTGTAAACACACTCTTTTGGCTTGTCCACTCAAGTGAGGAGTTTGGGATGGAGGGAGGACACGCTGGCAATCGCTGAGCTAAGCATCGGCTTTTGCGGCTTGGACTGCCTTTTCCTCCCTGACCAGCCAGTGCCAGGTACCCTTTTCAGGTTGTTTTAGAGGGAAACCAACGGGAAAACCCACAAATTGTGGGATCCCCTCTTGCGACATGCACCCACGTAGATACCCCTTCTCTTCTTGGGGGCGGAGTGCACAAACTGCTGGCTTCCATGCTTGCCTGCTCATCACAAATCACAGCTCCACCAGTCAGACTCAGTCATCTGGTCATTGGCTCATATGAGTACAACAAGAAATTGGAGATTCTTTGGTGGACTGGTACATGCGGATGTATGTCGTCCACTAACCAATTGGGGTGTCCCCATCAAAAGTCCTTGGTGCGGTCAAAATGTGCTTTCCCCTCCATGGACGTGGGCAAATGACCACAACCCTCCCAGCTGGACCATCACGAGTGGATAAACTCGCCGAACCTCATCCAGCTCCTCCGGAAGAGAGGTTAGAATAAGGGGTACCAACTTTTTTCTGTAGTCTATTTTAGTAGGGGAACGCTCCCAAAAAAGGGGTGAGAAAGCGCACCTAGCTGAGGGACCTAGTCATTGTAGGCATGGCCCTTGGCTCACAGAAACTCACTTGAAGTTTCAGGCGGCTGGTCAAAACTCCCAGGAAACCCCTGGTGAAGATCACAATCCAACCACTGAAATAGGTTCTAAAATGGGTGGTGAATTCACCTACCCCAAAATGGGATACCATTGGTTTTCACCCACGGCCAGGTGATCAACTACGCCAAATGGATGTTCATCCACCCCAAAATGGCTCGCCATAGGTTATGCAACCCATGGCCCTTGGCTGGCGAATCGCAGATGGTTTCTGACAGGCGACGCGTGAGCCAGGCCTGCTGCTCGGTGGCAGCAGCCTGGAGAGGCAAAAGCCGAGGACGGGCGATCTTTGGTAAGAACCTTTGAATATGTTGCGGACACCATCACACCCAATTAATGCTTCAAAGAAAAAACTATTGCCAAACATTGCAACACCTCACCGACCCGAACGTCTGCACATCTATTCCTGGGTCGTGAAGGGACATTCCATCTGGAAGCATATCAAGTCGCAATCGTTCAGCGTTGAGGGACCGCTTTACATCAATACATGGGGGGGGGTCTTTTTGCGGGTAACTGCCGTGTTTTTGGTTTTCCTTCGGAAAATACAGCGAACTTGGAGTTCATGACCGTCCGCTACCAAGTAGTGCACATTGACCACACATGCGAACCCAAATGTTCGCTCGCTTCCAGCCGCATGGATGGGTGCAACAGCTTCTCTCGCAGGGCTTGTTATTGCTTCGGCCAGGTAGAGGAGAAGGCCAAACTGAATTTCTGCAACAAACCGCCATTGTCTCTTCATGCAAACTTCCATTACTCTCCCTCCAACATGGACTTGCACAGCTGATTCATGAGGGATAGGCCCAGTCTTCCAAAACCACCAAGCAATGATTGTTGAAAGGAACTGAAACGGCTTAATTTGAAGATGCGCGTTACAAAAGTAAGCCTGCTCGCCAGCCATCAAGGGAAATCAACAGGACTTCACTTCCCAGGTGGAAAAACACGCGGAGACCACATCATAAACCAGGGTACACCAAATAGTTCGCCAAACCTGACTTTCTTCTGCACTGCACCCCAAAAGTGGAACCTTCATGGGTGATCGCCCAACGAATGAGGTCGCCGTGTTCGTCGGAGACCAACACGTCGAACAAACAGACTCTGTGGTTGTTGATATTTCGCCCCACTTCGCACCAATCTTCCGCACAGAAATGGACCCCGAGGTTGGTCGTCATGGTTCCGGGCCTGAAAAATCATTAAACAAATCTCCATGACACCTGAGGCATTCTTCGCCCGTTGATGTCCTCTGCCTCAGGCAGCAGAGTCGCATCGTCCAGGGGCGCCGCGGGCTCGATCGCCTCCCTGGGAATGGCTTTGGATTTGCGGGTTGGCGTTGGATTGGTTTCGTTTTGAGTCAAAGTGGTCTGGACTGGGTGTGGTTAGTTGGGGGGTTGACCTTCTGATTGGTGTTGGTGAGTTGGGTGTGGCTCAAAACTAAAGAGCTAGGGCTACGCAGGTTAGATTTTAGTATTTGGTTCCATTTACCAAGGTGCCATTTTGGTACATTTGTTTGAGCCGCAGACAGTTGGGGGGTTGACCTTCTGATTGGGGTTGGTCCAGGTGTCGCATTCGATTCGCAAGCTGGATCGGCTAGATCGGTAGTTTGACTCCCAAGCATTCCCGATCCTTCTGAAAACCTACATCTGCACATCCAAATAAAAAAGAGCAAAACCGCACATTTGGGGGCAGCTGAGCAAAGGCATCGGACAACAGAAGCGCAGATCTCATTGGCGGTCAAAATAGCGAAGGATGAAAAGTTTAAAGGCATACGGAATACAGAAATCTGTGTAAACAAAACAGTATGTACATGCACATAGGTGACCTTTGGGAGAAGTAGATGGTTTTGGCAAATGGAAAAAACCACCCTGAACCAGAGACATCTATGTCTAACCAACCTAACCGATCAAAAGGACGCCTGCAAACAAGTCACACACATCCTAAATGAGGCGGTTGCAAAAAAGAGTTCCCACCAGGCGTGGTTGACCCGGACTTCCGCTAAGTCGCCGAATCCAAGACGTGGCACCTTCAGACGGCGCTGCGCGTTCAAGCCAAAGACCGGAAGCTTCCCAGCTGCGAAGGGAACTGAGGGGCGCTTCCCCCCACCCCAGAGGAACCCCCGCTACAATTCTAGGGGTCGAGTCCTTTTCCGTCATTTTTTTTTTCAGCCATCGTTCTTTTCAAAAACCAAGCATGTCCCCGGGGTTTCGGGTGGTGTTCTAGAAAGATTCGGATCCCTGGGTTTAGAATGGGGAAGCTACCCTTGGAACAATGGGACCCCGCCTCCCAAGATTCATCCACCAATGGGTTATCAATCCTGGGTTCCCATGTACTGAATGTGGAGAACCAGGTGAAAGAAAGTTCCCGGAGCGGCTGGGACTGATGATGTTTAATAAGGCAGGCTTCACCAAAATCCTGTGGGTTGGCAACTATTTCTCTTTTCTGCCTGGGCCTGATGATTCATCGAACGGCAGGCTTCGTGGCAACATCCTGTGGGTTGGCTCATCCGCCAACCTTTTTTTCCCCAGGACCTTTGCTGCACTTGCCATCAACAGCCCCTTTTCCGCCAAGGAACTTCTGGGCTTGACCATCCACGCACCAAATAGTTCGCCTTGGCACACAAGCAACCGGACTCCTCGGTCCCCGCGTTTCCTAAGGGCATGTCACGCGGTGCCTGGCCGTTGCAACTTACTTCACGTGCAGACCAGGGATTCTTGGATTCTTGGCATCTGCTACCGAGGTTGCCTTGAATCCTGCCGTTCCCGGAATAGTTGGCAACCCGAGTACACGATCATACACCATCTGGCGACAGCAAATCCTGGCTGCCTAGATTGGTGGTAATGCAAGCACTGACATTGTCATGGCACTGGGCAATGTGAGCAGGCAGTAAGGGCCCCTGCTCGTCGTAGACGGAGAAAAAGAGGAAGGGCGAGGTTTTGCCTGCGGCATGCCCCGGCAAACAAAGAACAAACCATGAAGAGGAGACATCCTATGACAATCACAGCAACAACAAGGGCGGCACGAAAGAGAACAAGAACCATGAACAGAAGAGTCACATTACCGCACAGCCAGGGCTACTGCAACAACCACAACTTACGACAAGTCCACACACATGCGCCACGAGCAATACCACCAAGTGTTCCAACGTTGAGACTTGAAATGGAGTGGTGCAAAGAGAGAAGGGGAGAGAGAGAGAGAGAGAGAGAGAGAGAGAGAGAAAGGGAGCAAGAGAGAAACAGAGAAAGAGAGAAAGAGAGAAAGAGAGAAAGAGAGAAAAAGAGAAAAAGAGAAAAAGAGAAAAAGAGAGAGAGAGAGAGAGATGGGCGAGCACAAAAACAGCATGATTGTTCAGGGTACCATTTTTTGCGGTGGTTTCAAAAGGGAAGCCAAAATGAAAGCCAGCATTTTAGTAGAGAAACCCACTCGATATCGAAGGGAAGCAAAAACGGAACTTGCCATTTGCGGTTGCTACTTCACTCACCTGCAGGAAAAGCCATACATCAACACACCATCCACTTGCAAGGCGATCCATACTTTACATAGGCTCATTATATTCCAAAGGAAGATCCAAGCAACCGGAAGTGCCTGGCACTTGTGTCAGCCTGCTGGGCCACTCCTTGACACGCTCCTTTGGGCTGGAAGATGAACGACTCTGACTGGCCTCCCCGGAGACCCGCCCGCCCGCCCGCCCGTCCACCCCACAGGCCGGCCCGCCCGAAACTCCGCTTCGGCGGGAAGCGGGGGGGGGGCGAATTCTGGCTGGGGCTTGGACTCCAGTTTCTCCATTTGCTCGTGGTGAGGTGGTCCATGTCTGGTGACTTGGTTCCTAAAAAGTCAGGTTTTCGTTGTTTCCCCTTTGAATACCACCCAAAGGGGGGTCCATCGTTTCGAGACATCATTTGCTCCCCCAAAAGTCCGCCACTTCATTCCGCACCCACAGCCTTTGCTTCCAGGATGAGGATCGACTGGAACCTCCAGTGCCCTGGGCAACGAATTCCGGTCATTTTTGTTTGTCATCTCACACCAAGAGAGGACACAACCCCCAATTGTGTGGACCTCCCACTAGTGTTGACCAGAGTAATTAACCCCTGGATTCATGGGGGGGTCCCCTTTTTTGGTGGGGGTTGGTTCATCCGGAGTCCAAATGATGCTGCAACAATGTCGTGAACTGCGAGATCCCACCCACACACCCACACACACACACACACACACACACACACCCACACACACACACCCACACACACACACACCCACACACACACACCCACACACACACACCCA